CCTCGGCCGGGGCTGCGCTGTCTGTGCCGCTGAGGGAGGGCAGCACCGTGCGGGGATACAGCCGGGGCCACGGGCGTGTGCTGCTTGGGTGGTTTCACTTGTTCATCAAACAGCAACAGGCTTTTTTTTTCACCTTTTTTTTATTTCCCTTCACTAAATCACTTTGTAAGGCAGGAATCCTCCCAGGGCCCTGTGCGCTCCCCACCGGGACACTGACCGCTCGGCAGGCCGGGACGGAGCCTGCAGCCGCCTGTGCATGCAGATGTGCAGAGCCCGAGCAGGGCTGGCAGAGCGCTGTGTAGGTGGGGAGCTGTGGTGCAACCTCAACCTGTTCGCTAGAACAAAAAGATTTTGCAAGGTCTTCTACTGCAGGGAGGGAAGAATCCCTCAAGGCGTGAGAGAGTCCATTGCCAAACTAACTGGAAAAGGCATCATGTGAGCCTTTGAAGTGAAAAGGAATCAATTGAATGTGAATTCTCCATTCCATGTACCAGTGCAACACCTCCAGCATCTGCACTGCCTCCTGTGCCTCCTCCTAGCCAGGAGTGCAGCTCTCATGCTGGGACACTTCACAATGACAGTACCTTTGGCCTCTCTCCTCTTCATGTCCCACTGGAAAATGCTTTAGCTCATCTTCTTCCAAGATGCCAGCCAGATTTACAATAAGCAAATCTTATAATTAAAGGCATTATCAGATCCCCCAAACCTACCACGTGCTATCTTTATCATCTGGTGCAGGAATTCAGACACCCAAAGCTCAGTCTTTCCTCCACACGACAGTGAGTCATTTCTGAAAGGCCATAATTATATAAAATTTCCATTCTCCTCTGCATCTCCCCCTTGCACAGGAAAAAAAGGACAAGCAAAAACAACTTTTGGTGACTTGTAGATTGCTCAGACCTGAAATGATCAAGTTTTGTCTTGTGTTTTCCCCTTTTACTTCTTGTTTTAGGTTATTCCAAAGCATAAGTTTGTCCTTGTGAAGTTTGACACACAATATCCCTATGGTGAGAAACAAGATGAGTTTAAAAAGCTGGCGGAGAGCTCAGGCTCCAGTGAGGATCTGCTGGTGGCTGAAGTGGGAATATCAGGTGAGGAACTCTGAGTACATGCAAACAGCGTGGGCTGGTGAGGAGGGGATACATTTCAGTGTGATTTCTGCAGGTTCTGAGGATTCCGGGGGAGGGATGGATGTGAGAGTGGAGCTCTGCCCTGGCTGAGCCTGGCTGTGCGTGGGAGAGCTGCTTATCCATCTGGGCTGGGTAATGAGGAGTCAGCCCACGCTGCTGAACTGCTGCCACCTCCTCATCCTCAGCAATTCTTGCCTTTTTTTCCCCCCTTCTTTGCTGAGAGAAACCTTTTTGTCCCACACGCAGGGAAGAGACCTCACAAGAATCGTGTTTTAGCCACAATCCTGGTCAGACAAAGAATATTTAGTGTGATTCATTCCATGCAGCACAGCAAGGGGTTGTTGCACTGTGGCTGCTCTAACTTGATGTGATTGAGACTGGATTTAAGAGAAAAAGAGTGAAAAATAGATCACTGTCACCTGCCATGCCCTGGCTTTGTAGGTTGAATTAAGAATTTAGGCTTAATTATCAAACTGTGAAGTTTTACCCACTCTGATATTTCTAAACATATGGAATTCTCTAGTAGCATATTTGAAATGGCTTTGTTTTCTGTCCTCAAGAATAAATATAATTTCTGTAAGGTGAGTAAATGTCTTGTAGCTTGGCACGCTGTCAGAACCAAATCATTCTCTGCACATAGACAGGAAGAACTCTTTATTTAACTGTAAAATCAGTGAATAGAGGAAAATAAGAGGAAAAAGGGTATTGATTTCCCATAAAAGGACAGGGTTTATACAAAAGGTCCTGCCAATGTTTTACACTCTCACAGTCACAGCAAAACACCATTAAAGTCCTTTTCTTTGGAAAAGCCACTGAATGTTTGCCTTGCACAAATGATTTTATGAGGTGTTTTTATTTCAGCATGTGGCATTTCCTTGGAACAGGCTCTCCACAGAATGGTCAGGGCTGCCAGAGCTCAGGGAGTATTTGGGCAGTGCTCTAAGGCACAGGGTGGGATTTTGGGGTGTCCTGAGCAGGGCTGGAAGTTGGACTTGATCCTTGTGGGTCCCTTCCAGCTCAGGATATTTCCATGGCTCTGTGATTTCCTGGCAGACAGGTTATTAGGACATGTTGAAGCTCTGCCTACAAATATTTGTGTGGGAGGGAATCCTAATTTAATTTTTGATTAACTGTGTTTTTCTGTGTTTCCTTGTCCCTTGACAGATTACGGTGATAAACTGAACACTGAGCTGGGAGAGAAGTACAAGCTGGACAAGGAAAAGTTCCCTGTTTTTTACTTGTTCCAGGATGGTGACTTTAAAAATCCTTTACTTTACAGTGGTGAGATCAAGGCTGGGGCTATTCAGCGCTGGCTGAAGAGTAATGGCATCTACCTGGGGATGCCAGGCTGCCTGAAGGAGTATGATGTGCTGGCCAGCAAATTTATGAGCACCACAGAGAAATCTGATCGCCAGGCCCTCCTGAAAAAGGGGCAGGAGAATTTAGGAAAAGCAAAAGAAACCGAGAAGAAGTCAGCAGAGCAATACTTGAAAATTATGAGCAAGATCCTGGAGCAGGGAGAGGAGTTTGCTGCTAACGAAGTCGTCCGAATCACAAAGCTGATCGAGAAGAACAAGATGAGTGATGGAAAGAAGGAGGAGCTCCAGAAAAGCCTCAACATCCTCACTTCTTTCCGGAAGAAGAGTGGTGAAAAAGATGAGCTCTGATGTGTTGGAGAACTCTCTACAAGCTGTGAAACATTGTGAAGAGTCCTAACCAGTTCTCCTTAATGCAAGCAAACTTCCCGCTGACTTCAAGAGGGCAGCACATCTCCTTCTGGGGTTCTCAGTTTAGAAGATCAAGAGGAAGACATTCCTTAAAAACACAGTATTGTAAATGTTGGAAAAATCACCTAAGAGCAAGACACAGCAAGTATTGTGTAATGCTATCCAATAACAGTGTTAAAGCAGACAACAAAAAAAAAAGCTCTAGATTGGCTGGAAGCTCATTCCTGGTGTTTTTTACAGCTGTTCCCTGGCTAACAAAAAACAAAATTCAGTCTCTCATTCCATCTTACATGTTGGAAAAGGTACAGATTGGGTGCCCTCTGCTTCCCCACCTTTCCCTGTCTGTAATATCCTTGGGTTTTATGCTTTTTAATCTACCCCTCACATGCCTTGTGTTGTCCCACTTTGGCTCTAAGTCTTGTTCTTACCTGTTGTTGACTCAGAGCTTCCTTTTTCTGGCTTCTCCTTCCATGGCTTCTTGTCCCTGTTTGCTTTGGGTATCAGCCAAATGCTGGCAGTGAAGACGGTTCACAGCTTGCCCCTCATTTTCTGTCCAGAGCAACCATTTCATCAAATATTCTCCTGAAATCCTTTGTGTTACCTTGGCACAGTGAGTGAAGTGAGTTCTGAGCAAGGGCAGAGTCTCCTTGAGGTGCTATTACACTCAGTCTCACCAGTTTGTGCAAAAAATCAGGTTTTCAGAGGTAAATTTGGATGAGTTTTCTTACGGTTGAAGAGGTGTTCTACCTGTCCAAGCTTCATGAACAAAATGTTTTTCTACCCCCCAGAAACAATTGACACTCTCAAACAAAAGCCTCATCAGTGTTTGGTAGTTCTGAATATTGAAAATAAGGTCTTGTAAGAGGAAGCAGAAGTATTTGTGTGCTTAGGAGCCTCATCTGTGTTATTTAAAAGGAGATGCCTGGTCCAAGGATCAGGTCAGTCCTCAGAACTGTGCAGTTCACACTCTGTGGAATTCAGATGCCTCTGGAAGATGCTGAAGTCCTGGTCAGGGTGACAGAGTTGAAAAGATAAACACCTGTGAGTTTTACCTTAAGAGTATGCTTTAAACAAAACTGATTCCTGTGGGAGCTTGCTGCCTTTTGAATCTTGGGGTGGGTACAAGGAGCAGATGTTGCTGCGAGATAAAATGTATTAATAATGCTATAATAAAAAAAAAATCCACTTCAGAGCTGCTTCTTAAACCACTATAGAGAAGCTACTGCCATTCCATGATCAGAGGGGAGGCTGTGACTGCTGAAGTGAGGTGAGGGAGGCCGAGGGTGTCCCTCGGCCCAGCGCTGTCCCCTCAGGAGCAGCAGAGGAAGGACCCCGGCAGGGTGGGCAGTCCTTGGGAGGGCTGTGTGGATATTCAGCCCCGGAGACCCTGAGGAAATCGTCTCCTGAGGGGAGCCGTTCTCGAAGCACTGAGGGAACTATTCCCCGGGACTCTGAAGAGAGCAGTCCCTGATGGGATCGGAACTTGAGGGGGTCCGTGCCGCCCTGTATCTGTGAAGGGAGCAGTCACTGGGCTCTCTGAGGGAACCATGCCCGTGCTCTCTGAGGGGAGCAGCGCCCGGGACTCTGAAGGAGCCGTGCCGGGCTCTCTGAGGGGAGAAGCCCGCGGGACTCTGAAGGAGCCATGCCGGGCTCTGAGGGGAGCAGCCCCCGGGACTCTGAAGGAGCCGTGCCGGGTTCTCTGAGGGGAGCAGCCCCCGGACTCTGAAGGAGCCATGCCGGGCTCTGTGAGGGGAGCAGCCCCCGGACTCTGAAGGAGCCATGCCGGGCTCTGAGGGGAGCAGCCCCCGGGACTCTGAAGGAGCCGTGCCGGGTTCTCTGAGGGGAGCAGCCCGCGGGACTCTGAAGGAGCTGCGCCCGGGTTTTTCTAGGGGAGCAGCCCCCGGGACTCTGAAGGAGCCGTGCCGGGCTCTGAGGGGAGCAGCCCCCGGGACTCTGAAGGAGCCGTGCCGGGCTCTGTGAGGGGAGCAACCCCCGGGACTCTGAAGGAGCCGTGCCGGGCTCTGAGGGGAGCAGCCCCCGCGCGCCCCCTCAGAGCCGCCGCCGCTCGCGCGCCCCTCGAAGCGCCTTCCCGCCCCCGGTGCTGGTGACGCCACGGAGGGGCGGCGCCGAGGCTCCGCGGGGTCGCCTCAGGGCGGCTCCGTGAGGGGAGCCCGGGGCGGCGGTGACCGGAGCGAGCCCGCCCACCGGGGCTCGGCCGGTTCTGCCCCCGGAGGGATGCGCGGGACGCCGGTGCCCGGGACGCCACTCCCGCTGTTTGCCCAGGGCTCCTGTTCCCTCAGCCCCTCTCTGCCACCGGGCGCTCCCCGCAGCCGGCCCCGCCGGCGGGGGCCGGGCGCGGTGCGGCCCCGGGGCGGAGCGCGGGCGGTGCCCGCAGCCCCGGAGCGGTGCGGCGGCGGTGGCGGTACCCATGGCCCTGCCGGCGGAGGCGGACCGGCTGGATGGGGGCTGGCAGGAGGTGAGCGAGCCCCGCCGGCACCGGGACCCCTTAGGGACAGCGGCTGCCCCCTCCCCGGGACCTCGCTGTGCGCGTCTCTCCTCGTCCATCCCCTCACGGTCCTTCCCCAGCCCTAAGCCCCGCTCCGTGCCGGCGGCACCGGCTGCGTTGCACGATCCTCCCCCGGTCACTGTCCCCAATCCCTGCTGCTTATTCCTCTTCGGGACCCCGCTGTCCCCAGTCCCCGGTCCGTGCTGTCCTTCCCTGGGACTCCGCGGTCCCCGGTCCCTGTGCCCGGTCCGTGCTGCCCGCTCCTCCCGGGACCCTCCAGTCCACCTTCCCGGGTCCGCGCTGCCCGCTCCTATCCCGATCCCCGGTCCTTGTCGTTCCTCCCCGTCCCCGGTCCGTGCTGCCCGCTCCTCCCCGCGGTCCCCGGGCGCTCCTGCCGCTCCTGGGGCCGTGTCACCTGAGCTCCCTCCCGTCCTGCTCCCCAGGTCTACTCTGCGCTCCAGTGGATCCAGTTCACCATGGCCATGCTCAGGTACGACACGCTGCCCATAGAGTTACTGTCGCGAAGATGATTTTACCCCGAAAAGCAAAAAAAAAAAAGAGAACTCGCGTCTCCCAGCGAGGCAGACGCGCTCCCGTTCCAACCTGTGCTTTGTTTTCTTAGCGTTGTAGGTTCCAGCTCAATTATTGCCTACGCCGTCTTCCAAAATGCAGTGCGGTCCCCCGAGGTAAGGTCTGAGCTTCCTTCTCCCTCCCTAAGCCGTGGTGTCAGTCCCTGCAGGTGGGTCACACCTGTAGCACAGACTCTCTCCTAGGAGCAGCTGCAGGTCTCAGGGTGATGTGGTTAAACCTCGTTTAATAGCTGGGAGGCAAAGGGCTTGCTGAGAGAATTAGGCTCTTTGTCTTGGTAGGAGGTGAAAGGACTGACCTTGAACCTGTGCTTCTGCAGGGGGAAGCAGGTTCCTTAGTCCCGTGCTTTCTGCTGCTCCAGGAAAGTCCTCCAGTCATTCCTGGGAGCAGGGATTTCTTAGTGTGCCCTCCTCAGTGGAGCCAAACTCCTGAGGGGCTGAGGAGTTGTGCACAAAGGTCCTGAAGTGCAAATTGGAGCTGCCCCTGCAGGAATGCTTTTATAAGTGTTGGTTTTTGGCTGTCTCCGAGGTGTTTCTCTGGGCAGGTGTGTTATTAAAACTGACCCCACAGCCCTCCACCCCATCCTGCCAGGCTTGGGTGTCCACAGACAGTCCCTCTGTGTGTCCAGGACTTCCTGGGGGCAGCGAGCCAGGCTGATCCCTGTGAAGTTGGGATTTGCTGTCCAGGGTTTGCAGGCTCAGCCTGGCCTGTGGAGCACACAGAAAGTCAGCGGAGCTGGCAGCAGCTGTATTTGTTCTTCCTTCATCTTCATGTTCTTTGTACATCGTGGGTTTGATCTGCAGCCCAGAGAATGGGACTTTCAGGGAATTCGTGGAGCTATCCCTGGAGAAGAAAGGAATGCAGACAACTGACACAGTGCTGGATGACACAGTGGGAAGGAGAACATGAGTCCATGTTTGCAGGGCAAAGCTGTCCCATTTACAGCAGGGAGGACCTTGCTCCCAGCCAACCTCCTGGAAATGCTCTGCCCAGCACATCCAGAACAAACTGTGGAGATCCATGCATCCCCAGGGAAGAACAAAGGCTGGGACTTCACCTCTTAGCGAGGATGGAAAACCTGCTTGAGCTTATGCTGCTCAAGGTACACATCAAAGTCTCTTTCTACCACATCTGCACCTGGAAAGCTCCAGATGTGATTCCTTCTGGGTCCTCTCTCTGGAATGGAGCAGGGGTTGGCAGTGTCCTGCTGTGACTCAGCAGCCTCATCCTGTTGGTTTCCATGGCCTGGTTGCTCAGGAGCCCTTCTGCTCTCAGTCATGTGATGGAGCTGTGGCCTGGGAGCTGCTCATGAGCCACACATGGCTCCAGGTCAACAATGGCCCCTTCCTGCTCCAGAGGGTCCAGATGTTTCTGCTCAGATTATTTCTGCAAATCCGGATGGGAGGGCTGGATGCCAGCTGGAGGGACTGGTTTGCATCAGCCTTCCAAGGCTCTTCTGCTGCCAGGGGAGATCTGGTGCTGGGTTTCAAAAGTGACAAAATCTCCATTAACTTCCCCATCTTCTTGTCCTCATGTCTCGGGTCTGAAGTGGAAGTTTGTAAACAAAAGGGCTGGAAGAGATCCATATCAAAGCTTGCCACAAACAGCTTATTCCCTGAGTCATGAGGACCCACAGCAAAACATTTAAAAATAAACAGCTCTGGAGGCTGGGAGGAGAAGGATCTTAGAAACACTTCCCTTCCTGCCCTCAACCTCAGAAATCGAATACTGCATTCTTGGAGCTTGCTTTCTGTCTCTGTGGGGTCAATAAAACCCTTCAGCCTGAGATAAATAATTCAGAAGAGGTGATGGCAAGCAAGGAAGAACCCTCAGCTCAACACATTTGAGGAAGAACTCTCAGCTCAACAGGTTTGAGGAAGAAACCTCAGCTCAGCAGGTTTGAGGAAGAACCTTCAGCTCAGCATGTGCCTGGGCCATGGCCACAGAGCCAAATCCCCGTGTGTGCTGCAGCTGGAGCTGCCAGGATGTAAATCATTACATCTTTGCAGTGCCTTCCTCTATTTTATAAATACCAGTGGTTCTTTTCTTTCCCCTTTTTCAAGCCAGAGCCACACGTGCCCCTGTGTCACCTACTTCTTTATCCAGGTCTCTGCCAAAACCCACCAGCAGTGCTTTGCTCCAAGGGCACTTGTGCTGGAGAAAGAGATCACCTGTTTGATTGCAAAAGTTCCTTCTTTGCTTATTTTAGATCTGTTTGGTTTAACCTGCCTTGATCACAAACTGGACAGTGCCCCCAGCCTGTCATGCCAGGCCTTAATTTCTAGACCAGTGTGGAAAAGTCTGGTTAAAAAAGGCATTTATAGATGAAATCAAATTAAAATTAACTCCAGATCTTTGTGCCTTGTGCTCCTTCATGCCCTAAGGACAAATCTGGCTCAATCAGATCTACCTTAACTCTTATCAGCCTTCCTAAGCTCTCTCTCACTGCACATGGGAACAAATAGAACCTGATGGGTGGCATACATTTACTTCCAGGACAATATTGAGGCAAATCTCACCAAAAACTCAGCTCCATGAAAAGCAATACAAAATCAAAGCCTGCTGAAGCATTTCCATGCTGTGTTTATCATTACAATTTTCTGTAGGGAAAGAAAAACACCACAATTTTCTCTCCTGGGTGCTGAAAATGAGGTACCAAAGGCTTTAATTAAGAATGTAGATAATTAGGTTGCTTTTCCAAAGTCTCTGCTCTCCCACTAACAAAGAAAATGTTGGCCAGAATTTTTGCACAAATGTTTTCCTGCAGTGTTTACAGTCCTGGCCAGTGTGAGCAAACTGGAAATGGCTGGAAACTGTTGTTAAAGGAGACGTGACTCCTTTCCAGCAAGATGCAGCAATAATGGCTCTCAGTGGAAATTAATCCAGCTTGTAAAATAAACCCAACCTTAGTCATCAGCTGAAATGACATGGAACACATAGAAAAATGTTTGTTTAAAGTAATTCCAGACCTGAGAAAGGGTTTATATTTACTGGAAGTTTGATTTCTATGTGAGTTTATTTAACACATGATGTCTCTTCTCCCTGCCATCCTGCCCTGTTCTGCAAAATTGTAACATGGTGGACATTTGGGATATTTTCTGTAAGTGTTGATGCTGCTCTTGGGTCTTGTGGCAGAAGCGGTGGTTGGAGTAGGGAATGTGCACTGGAACAGCTCCTGAGAGCACAAATCCATCTGGAATTCCCCTGCAAGGAGAGCTGTCTCTCCAGAAGAGCTGGGGGTTGACAGTGTTCAGATAACACCAGATAACCTGGTACTGATGTCTGACCATAATTAATTTTTCTGCTATAATTGGTGTAGAAGTTTTAGAGGACTGAAAACAAGGATGTTATTCAGGAGTAGAGGCTGAAAAATTTTCATCTGTTAACTTTTCTTTGAACTCGCTTGGCTGTGAAAGTAGAGGAGACTTTTTTGTTGGAGCTCTCAGGGTTTCCTGCAGGTGAATTGACTGGTCTCAGAAATGTTGTCACAGTGCTTCCCTGAGGGTAAAATCATCCCTCCACAAAGTGCCACTTATGCCCCACTTCCCCTCAATTAAGGCTTTCAAAATAACTTTGCAGTGGGGTTTTTCTGCTGAAAAACTTTCCTCACCTGCAGAAAAACCTTTGGAAGGCTGTATTAAATATCTTTATGTCTGATAAGGGGGTAAACCTGCAGCTGGGGGTGGGAGGGCTGTGACTGCACTCACATCTGCTGAGCCTTTTCCCTTTTCCAGGTGCGTCCGCTTTTCTACCTGAGCCTCTCGGATCTGCTGCTGGGCATGTGCTGGCTGGCTGGGGCCCTGCTCTACAGCTCACCCACCTCCCAGCAAGACCTCATCTGCTACAACCTGCAGGCCACGGGGCAGGTGAGTGGCCTTGGCACCCCTTTCTATAATTAACCTTGTAATTTGTCATAATTAACCTCGTTGGTGATCAGAGCGTGGCCGTGGGGGCTGTTTCTAGACAGGCTTTAGCAGATCTCTTGGCTTTGTGTGGAAAAGGGAGATAATGGCACTGGGGTTTAGGTTCCTCTGGTGTGTGAGAGGAAGAGAAGGTGGGATTTTGTGGTTGTTTGTGTGAAATGAGCAGATGGGACTCGATCTCTCCTGTTGGATCCATGCCCGTGGATCTCTGCTCTCACATGGCAGCTTTTCTTTTCCTCTTTGTGCTTCCTCCAGCCTGGGCAGGAACAGACACAGTCTGTGACTTGCTTGAGCTCAGACTTAAATTACACACATGAACATCCCATTTCTTGCTCTTCCCAAGGATGCTCCAGCAGCACAAGCTCAGCCTGTGCCCCATTGACTCAGCTGCTTTCCAGCAGATCCCTGTGCTGGGGACCAGTTGGAGCAGGGTGGGTGAGCCCTGTTTTCCTGACAGTTTGCTGTTACCTTACCCAGTTCCCATTTCAACACCAGGCTTTGGAAATCTCAGCTCTCAAAAAGTTCTGCAGGGTCCAGCTGAGCTTGGTGGTTCATAAATGATGATCTCTGGAATAAATTTTCCTTTTAAAGGATATGGCTGGAAATAGCAAGGAGCTTTTGGAAGCCCTCATGTGTGGGCTCAGGCAGCTCCCTGAGAGTGTGGTGGCACCCACAACAGGGAACTGAATTTCCTCATGGAACAGCAGCATCCAAAGCTGGAAAGGATCTCCATGTGCCTCAGAGAGGGCAGGGATGTGGCTGCAGGTGCAGAATGGAATTGTTCTGGCTGTTGTGTGTCTGGGGATGGGCTCCTGCAGCCCAGGGTTGTTTAAGTAGCTGTTTTTGGGAGTACAGATGTGTTGCTGAGGGTGATGAGAGCAGCTGTTCCACTCCAGGCTTATCTCTGGTCCCTGCTGGCTCCACAGTATGCTCATGTTGAGAGAAACAGTGAGGTTTGGGTAACTTGGCCACTTGGGAATGATGCAGAACAACATCAAAGATGTTTTGAAGGTGATGGTAAATGGGAAAACGAGGAGAGCTTGGGAGAGGCTTTCAGAGCTGGAAGGTGGAAGGAGCAAGCAGGACTGAGGCTGTTCCTGAGCTGTTTCCCTTGCCTGGAGGACAGTTCTTTCAGCTGGTATGATGTTTTTATTGCCTGGAGAAGGCAATTTGCACTGCTAGAGGAGAAATAAGTTGGCTATGAAAAATATGCCCATAATTTCTCAGCTCCCTTGCACTTCTGGCTCTGTTCTGCCCTCACTTTTCCAGCCTGTGGCTGTGCTTCTCAGGGACACCAGCACAGGATGGGACAAGGTGGGGGCTTTGTGTTCATGCTGGGAGGGCAGAGCTGGCCTTGGGCCAGGACAGGGCTTGTGGTGGGGTGTGCAGAGTCACACCCTGCCCTCAGCCAGTGTCCCCTGGCTCCTCTTCTGTGTGCCACCACCAGTCCTACAGCACAGGGACTGCCTGGGTGGCAGAGCCGGATTGTGCCTGGCAAGAGCCGTCGCTGCTGTTTGCTCTGGAGAAATTAAAACAAACTGAGCCCTTGCCATAGCAACCTCTCCCCCAGGGCACGTGACAGTGCAGGACCTCCTCACCCAACACCCTGCAGTGCCCTTGAGAGGTGGGAACACCTTGTGCGTAAGAAGGAGCCGGTAACAGGTTCAACCAGCAGATTCTGCAGGGCAGGAGGGATCTGGAAGCTGATGGAATGAGTAAATAAACGTCTCACTGTGCTTCTGGGTGTCTCACAAGCACCTGGGCCCTCAGCACCCAGAAGGTGTCGGATGAGCCGAGGTGAGGACAGGCAGGGACAGCCCAGCAGTGGAGTTTGCAGCCCTTGGAGAGGCTCACACTGGAGTCCTTGTGATGTTTGAAGGCACTGCCTTAGGAGCAGGGCAATATTTTGCTTTATTCAGGCTGTTTGCCATTATTTGTCATCACAGGCTGATGTTGCAGTGGATGGAGCTGCCCAGTGCCCAAACTGTGGCATAAAGGAGGAGATTGCTTTGTTTCTGGGATTTTCCCTCTTTCAGCCCCAGAGCTTTGATTGATATGAATGTAAATACTGCTCCCTTTGCTGTCCCTCATTCTCTCCTCCTCCTGCATTGCAGTAATAAAGTCCAGAATAGATATTGTGGTTATAATTGCACAACTCCCCCACGTTCTTCCAGTTCAGTTCCAGTGGCCTAATAATGTCCTGGCAGGCTCTGCTCGTGCTGGGCAGCACAATGGGAGCCACACAAGTGGGATAATGAGGGGTTCTTGTGTCTCTGCTTTATCTCCTCGTGGGCAGTGCTGCAGGACTGTCCCCAGCCCCAGAGCTGGGGCTCAGGAGAGCAGAATTCCCTTCCCTTCCTGCTGGCACCTTCACAAGTGGCGTTTGGGTCTCTGTTCCAGAAGGCAGCACTGATATTTCATGAGCCTCTCCCAGGCGTCCTGAAGTGCAAGAGAATGATCCTTGTGGACTGTTTTGGCCTTCTCTGGAAGCAGTTGGAAAAGGGCAACAGCCCCTCATTAAAACTCATTTAATGAGCTGGAAAGTCACTGCAATGTTCCTGTGGCAGCCCTTGGACTCAGCCTCTTGAGCCAGCCAAGAGCATTCACAACCTCAGTGAAGGAGGCCAAGTTTGTTTAGTCACCACTTTCCCAGCCGTGGATGATACCAGGGTGGCAAACCTGTGCTCCTTATCTTTTTGGCAAAGGATAGTAAAGCCCCAGGGAAAAAAAAAATAATTCTTGTCCAGCCCTTCCTCTTTGCCACTGTAGTTTGTGTTTCCTGTGACAAACACAGCACATGCATGTACATGGTCTGATTAGGCAACCTGGGGTAAGCATGAATTTGGAAACAAATTTGATCAATATTTGGGGAGGTTTAGAAATTTTAGATAATTAGACTTATCTCAATCAAAGGCTATGAAACTCTCAGTGTGCTCTGTCTTTTCTCCTTTTCCCCATGGAGGAAGGAAAGGGATTTTGGGATGTTAACTCAGACTGAGGGCAGAGAATATCTGCCCTCACATTCCTCTTGAAATATCCAATTGTTTTCTGTTTCCGTGAATTCTCTGCGTAGTGAGCTCATTATGCAAGAAGCAAATCTAAATGTCACATCTGTGCTGTGTTTCCTAATGGACATGGATATCACTGAGAAGGTCCAAGTGCCTCTGAAACCCTCATTGCCAGGCTCTGAGCCAAGAAAATGAGGCAGATCACAAAGATTTTTATTTCTAGGACAGTCCTGCTGTCATTAGTTCTCCTCACAAAGATTTTTATTTCTAAGACAGTCCTGCTGTCATTAGTTCTCCTCACAAAGATTTTTATTTCTAAGACAGTCCTGCTGTCATTAGTTCTCCTGCCTCAGGCCAAAGTGAAGCTGCTTTTGTGTGATTTAAAGTGGGAATCTCTCCTCCAACCTGGCTCTTCCCAGCTGGATGTGAGCACAGCCCCTGTACTCAGACCCTCATCTTTGGAAGGTGTTCATCATCCTGCCTCTGTTCCATGGGATTTGGGAGGAACTAAACATGCTCCAGGAATTATTATTCCAGTACTGAAATGCTGGTTTTATTTCTCAGATATTCTACGTGGCCTCTTTTCTCTACACTGTCAACTACACCTGGCACCTGTACATGGACCTCAAGGTGAAATACAACCAGAACCTCTTCAGGGTGCCTCCCCAGGTGAGTGGGACTGGTGTAAAGGCTGGGAACCCAGGGACAAGGACACAACACTCATGAAAAACCTCCCTGCATTGCAGGCTGAGCAAATACTTCACACACCCCGTGACCAAAATCTCTCCTTGCAGTTAATTCCTCCCTCCCACCCAAACAGGGAGGCACCACCCCTGCCATGGCCAGGCTGGGGAATACCCCAGCTGTTCCTGCAAGATGGCACATTCCTTATGCAGCTCTTCCCAACAAACCCATCAGCCCTACACAGCTTCCCCAGACATTTGCTGTGCACAGCAAACTTTGTATCCCAGATATTCCATCTGGAATTTCAGGAGCAGCAGGCTGGGCAGATCCCCCTCAGCTGCTGAAATGCCCTGGGGAAGATGATTCCTGTGAACCAGGGGCTGTGCAGAAATAACTTAATTAAGATTTTTGGGTTTTGCAGGTTGTAGATTATGCAAGTTGTGTTGGCAGAATAGCAACGATCTTGTCAAGGTAAGATTTCATTCTCCCTGGCAGAGGGTGTGGGTTTGGTAAGAGTTAATTCTTCCTGGTGGGAGAGTGTGGATTTGGCAAACTGCTTCCTACTTGTTTCGAAGCAAGGTTTACTAAAAAAGCTGTAAAGCTCATCATTAAGAGCAGAGTGACCTCATGAAAGCAGAGTCAGAGGGTTTTTTCAACCAAGTTAATGATAACTTTATTAACTGGATGTGGTTTTCCAGAAGGTTTCCCTTTACCAATGATTAGCCCTAACAAATTAAAGCTGGTAAAGCTGATAAAATATTTTTCCAGAGCAGTGCCAATAAAAACAACTTTAAGGTCCTCTGTAGTGATGGGAGAAAAACCAAGCAGTGCCCAAGTGGAGCAGTGCAATAACCCATGGCTGTGCTCTCCTTTCTCCTCTCAGCCTGATCCCTTTCCTCCTCATGGTGCCGGTGTTTTGCCTGGGCAACAGCAGTAATTGCTACCAGAACTTCAGTCAGAAGCACGGGTGAGCTTCCTCCCTCGCTCTGGCACGGCCCCAGGGCTGCTGTGCCAGGGGTGGGCAGGAGCTCAGGCTGTCCCCTGTGTCCCCAGGTGTCTCCTGATGCACACGGAGGTGGCCGAGCCCCCCAGCGAGCCGCAGGGCCTGAGCGGCTCCGTTTGCCGCGCCATGCATTTCTACGGCATCGGCGTCTTCCTCGTCTCCTTCCTCATCAGCTTCCTGGCCATCCTGGTAAGGCTGGTCCTTGTGGAGCCCTTGGGTGGCTCCAGAGATTGGGAAATCATGGAATGGTTTGGGAGGGAAGGCATCTTTAAGCTCATCCAGTGTCGCTCTCTGCCATTGCTGGGACACCTTCCACTGTCTCAGGTTGCTCCAAGCCCCGTCCAGCCTGGCCTTGGACACTGCCAGGGATGAGGCAGCCACAGCTTCTCTGGGAAGGATTTCCTCCCAATATCCCATCTAACCCTTCTCTCAGTTTTCAATCCTTTCCCCCCTGTCTGCTCACTCCATGTTCTTGGTAAATAAGGCAGGGGAATAACTGTGTGGTGCTGCTTCCCTTTTGGAAGGGGTGGTAGGGAAGGGAAAATATCACTGTGCCACCAGATAAATCCATCTGGAGTCCTGTGTTCTGTCAACCCATCCCAGAAATATTTAGCAGGATTTCAAAGGCTTGGAGCTTGGCAGAAGAGATCACCTTCTGCATGGGTCAGCAAGAGGTGATTAATGGTTGGACTCCATGGTCATAGAGATCTTTTCCAGCCTAAACAATTTAATAAATCTAAAATCAGTTCAGAGTCTTCAGTTTAGAAAAGGCCACATGCAAAGCAACACCTCCCACAGGATTTCAGTGCTGTGTGAAAAGGTTGGATAGACTGGGATCCATCCTGGATGAACCCAGCAGATCACAGCCTGTACAGTAACATTTGCCTGTTCTTTTCCAGGTTATCCTGAGTCAGGCCCGAGGGCTGTACAAGAGGTTTGTGAACTCCACAGGATTCCTGGGGGATCAGCAGTGGGCCATGATTAAGATGGTGGAACAACGAGTGGTTTTTTACCCTGTTGCCTTCTTCTGCTGCTGGGCCCCAGGTGAGCAGAGAGTTCCTCCCACAGCATCCCATGTGGAACCCCAGAGAGGTGGGGTTAACTTCACCCTCTCATCCATCCCTTCCCACAGCTGTCCTCCTTGGAATGCTGAAATTGACTGCTTCAACAACCAGCAAAATCTACATGGCTCTGCTGATCCTGCAGGTAAATGTCTGCCCCTGCAGCCTCCTGCCTTCTCACCCTGAGTGTCCTGCCCTGCATCCCTGCTGGGTGCAGCTGGACAAGGATCTCTGCTGAGTGAGCCCACGTCTGATTTGTGCTTTTGCTTGGCAAAGATGTTGGTTTGGTGGTTTTTGTTTTCCACAGGCTTGAAAAGGTCTCAGTACCCAAAATCCCAGCACAGCAACAGTTTAGTGGTGAACAGGGTGCTGGGTGGATGTTTGGACTTGGTGACCTCAGAGGTCTTTTCCAACCTCACTGATTCTGTGGTCATGGAAATTGTGGCAAATAGGACTAGAAAGGGAAAACCAAACCAATTTCTGGGGATCCTATGTCCCTTAATGTGATTCCTTAATAACACTTGTCCAGCTCCTTCCTGTGCCTGATGCAGAAGTTAGATATTGTATTAAATGATATAATTATTATATATATCAACATATTTAATATATATTCTGTATTTGTATAGCATTTATATTTATATATTCCTTAAACATTTATTAAAACAGCAGCACAATTTCTCTAGCACACGGAAGATAACACCCTGCTGGGAGGGGGAGCTTTTCCAGGCATCCCTGATTCCCCCGTGCTCTCTCCCAGGCTCTCACGGCAGCTTCCCAGGGGCTCCTGAACTGCCTGGTGTACGGCTGGACCCAGCACGCCTTCCTGGCCCTGAAGAGCGGCTCCCGGCGGGACGTGGACACGCAGACCCCGCTCCTGCGCTCCCAGAAGAAATTCTACTCCAGCACAGCCGCCGCCGGCCCGCAGGACACCGCGGGCTCCTCCTCCACCCTGCTCTGATGCTGCCCTGCCTGCAGGGAGAGGCACAATCCTTCCTTCTCCTCCTTCTCCAGAGCCGGGGTGGAACTGTCCCTCGGGCCCGAGCCCCAGGCGCTCAGTGGACACAGTAATTTATTTGATGGATTCTTTCAGCGTGGTAAATCTTTAGTCCAGACTTTCTCCTCCTGGAAATATCCCTAGAAATGCAGCAAACCACACGGAAAGGCTCAGAGATCTGGTCCAGCTCCACGGAGGTTGAGCAGAGGATGTTTTACTTTGTTTTATTTCTCCAAGTCGTTGCCTTTGCAAATTAACAAAAAGCAAAATGAGTATTTTTCAATCTCTGCCTTTTAATTCACTCTAACCATGAGAATTTGCACCACCCTAAGAACCAATTGCAGGGAGTGAAGAATTGCAAAGGACAAAACCTGCCTGGAATTTTTGCACATTTCCCTTTCCTTCTTCCTGCCAATTCCTGCTCAGCCACAATACTCCCAAAAATCAGCTGCTTCGACCCTGTGGAGCATCTCTCATGAACCAGGTGAGCAGGACTTTGAATCTCTCTTTGCATTTCCAGATGTTCAGATGAATTATTTACTGAGGTCCCACCATTCTATAGGAAATAAACCAGGTCTTAAGCTGTCTTGAAAACAACTCTTTACCTTTACACTCTTTATTTTCCAACAGCTTCACTTTTTGGGTCCAATCCAAATTTTTCTCATAGCAGGTTAGACAAGAAGAGGAAATACTCCAGCTTTGTGTAATTAACTTACACAACATAACTGTGTAAACTCTGGGTAAGTCACACAAGGGCCCTGGAGGTTTGGTCAATGACTTATTTTCTCCTACAGAGTGAGACCGACTGCAACAATTCAATTTTGCTGTTCTACAGGACAAAAACAAAGTTTTCAGCCATGTTCTTCCACCTGGTCCTTCAAATCCTCCTCTAGTCCCAAAGTTTGGTCATGGATGACTCTGTTTGTCCAGCCCCACACTTCCAAGGCAAACATTCCACAGGGAGGATGGGATTTGTGCCCTGGCCCTGGCAGGGCATGAAACACACCCAGGTTCATCCCTGAGAGCCTCCTGCACCCTCCTGGGACTGACCCCGTTTGTGGAGGCAGTGCAATTTGTTTAAAAGGGGATTAAGGCTTCCTAAGTGATGGAAGATTACCCAGGACACAATGATTGGATTGCTAATGGAGCATCAGAGCTGGCAGTGGGGGCTGACACATTCCCAGGGCTCCTCACACAGCTCAGCAGTCCCTCAGTGTTTGTTTGAGAGGAGTTTTCTTGCTGGAAAGAGCCATTCCATGGGCACTCCCAGCTGGGCTGGCTGCTCTAAGTGCTCCCAGGACATTGTTCCCTCAGTCCCTTTCCCAGCTTGGAGGCTCTGAGGGTCTCTCACCACCCAACCCACTCTGAACACCCCTGAGGCACCAAGCAGAGGGAGATTCTATTACAAGGAAGGAGCCTGAGCCCTCACAGCTGCCCCATCTTGTGTCCTGAAATGCTCCTGGGCCAAGGGTGTGTCTGGTTCCTGTCACCAAGTCAAGCCCTCCTCAGGCTAAAACCATTTCCAGAGCAGGAAGGGCCCAAGGCTCTGTGTGCAGAGAGGTGAGGGAAGCATTCCCTGGCCCTGGAAAAGCACAGGGCAACAAAGCAGATCCATTTGTCACCACCCAGTGTCCCCCAGGCCCAGCAGGGCTCCCACCTCAACCACCACCCCAGGAGCATCAGCCCCGAGGCTCTGGGTGCTATTCCCAGTGTCCCTGAGGACAGAAGGACTCATCCCTGCCTTCCCTGACTGCCCAGTCCAAGCCCACAGCCCTCAGGGGTTAACTGGGAGCACTGGGCAGGTGCTGCTGCCATCTGATGGAAAGCTGGGCTTAAAAAAGGCAATTTTGGGTTCTGCTGCCAAGCAGAGCCCAGGATTTATCCAGCCTCTCCTGTCATCTCAAATCCTCAATCAAGTGTTTATTCCCATGGATAAGGGAGGTGGGATGGGGGCTGAGGGTGGCAGAGTAATGGAATCATGGAATCTCTAAGGCTGGAAAAGCCCTCTAAGGCCATCAAATCCAGAAATTAACCCAGCACCACTGTGCTCACCACCAACCAAGTGCTGCATCCACATCTTCTGGACACTTCCAAGGAAAAGAACCCTCCTGCTCCTTCCTTCTCTCCTGCAGGGATTTGGGAAGCAAACAAAAGCAGCCAGGAACTTTTGAGTTTAGTAAAATCATTTATATACAGGATGGGTAATATTTACAATGTAATACTGATCCAAAAGGAACTAACAGGGAACACTGAGAGGAGAAATGAGAACATTTTAACAGACAGGAGTTAAACATGGGGACAGACTCGGGTTTCCAAAAGAAAATCCAGAAGTAATGACAGCAAAACTTTGACATGTTGCTATTTCCAACCAAAATCTCTTTCACTAATCAGGTTCTCCTAATTTTAATATATATAGAAAAGCTTCAAATAATCAAGTCACAGGAGAAGTCAGTTATACAGAAAATTTTGAAAAGGTCAAATGATTTCAAACATTTTTCTTCATTTAAATAAAATTCTAAAAAAAAAAACCCAAAACCCAGCAACCTCCAGAGCTTTCCCACATATTTTTAGTGTTTGTACAAAGAAATTCTTCTTTGATCCCACACTTCCAGCTCGAGCTATTTACAATATTCACAGTCTGCTATAAAGGATCAGTAGATTTATTACCAAGTCAAGCTTCAGAGAGTCAAGACAAGGTGTCTTGCACTTGCTTCAACTGAAAAATAAACTAAACACAGGAAGGAGAAAGTCAAATGCTACTTTCAAACATACAAATGAATCCATTAAAGTTATTGAATTTTGAAATGTAAAATAGAACTTTTCCAAGAGTAAAAAAAATCAAATTTCTCATAGAAACAAAATCATTTGACCTTGAGTCTTCAAATTGTGTTTTCTTAATCTGTTCCTCCTCCCTCTGCTTCAAATCAGGCCCTGATTTATCACAGACAAGAAAATGCAGATTAAATCCATCAAAAGCCCTTGGAAATTTGTACAAATGTTCCCACCTCAGGATCAGCAGCACTTAAGGGATGAAGAAAAGGAGGAATCCTCTATCACACACCAGATCCCACCTTCCCCTCTGCCTGCACTTCCAACAAATTCTGACTCCAAAAAACTGCCTGAGGATTTCCCTCCTGGGAGGGCAGAATCACAAAGTGCTTTTGGAGGGGATTTTTTGCTCTGCCATTCCAACAAAGGTGATTTCCTTGTTTCCATCGCTATCTGCCACACGTGAAAGTTTCAATTCCTCAGAAAGACATGGATTTCAAGTTCAAAATGAAACCATTCAAGACATGACCTAGAATTAGAGCAAGGACAGAAATGCACGTAACAGGGCTTGGTGGTACAGCCAAAAAATTGACAGAAACTCTCATTTTTTGCTAATTCTCTTCAGTTTTCATCAACAGGTCAGTGCACAAATATTCCAGGTAGTGTCAGAAGTACAACTGTAGCTCACAGAAACTCCCTGCTCCCATCAGAGGATGGAAAAGCAGGGACTGTTCCTACCCTGCAATAGATCAGGCATTGGAAAACTGTCCACAGGATTAAGGAAAGCTGACAGAGAACAGGAAACAAAGCATCTCCTTCGTGTAGAAAAAACAAGTCACTGTTTAGAAAATTGTATAGAAAGAGTCAGACACTGCTCTGCCATCCAGCTAAAGCTGCAAGGAAATTTTGGTATAGAAAAGAGACAAAAAAAGAACAAGGCTGGACTTTTGTAGGAGAGAACTGGGAGATTCATGGCTCAGGTTTGTCAATGTAAACCCAAAAATGGATGAGCTGTGAAAAGACAACAACGTTCAGGAGTGGTCACTGATGGCCCTGGGTTGGCACTTCAGTCTGCAGACCAAACTCAGCCGATGTCTGCACGGATTTGGTACCAAAATAGCTCTATAAAAAGCCTCCGCCCGATCTCGAAAGAAAGAGAAGCAGAAAAGGTAGAAAACTAGAACTATGTACAGATTCTTGCCATTGGTTTGCTTTATCAGGATTTAAAAAAGCAGCTTTTGGAGCCAATGTTCCAGACTAGAGTCAGAACCTGCCCTGGGGAGCAGGGAGCAGCCCTGCAGTTGTGGCTCCCCCAAGAAGGAGCTCGAAGGCATCAGAGATGAGAATTTGGGCTCCAGAGACAAATCCCAGGGGGTTGAAATCCCAGAGCACTGGGAGCCTGCCTGGGAGCAGCTCTGCCAAACAAGAGGACAAGTCAGAACCCAAGCCTTGGATCTTCTAGGAAGGAAAGAATGGGAATATGGGGGTGGATCCCACACAAACAAAGCCCAGGCTGGTCTCGGTCCGTAGAAGATCCCACCATGGAAATTAAAAGAACTTGTGCATAAAGACTTGAACATTCTTCTGTTCTGCTGTTGGACAAGGTGAGAAAAAGAAGAGTTTTGGGCTGAATGGCTGATTCAGCCTTAAAAAAGCTCTGAGGAAGATGGGAGAAATAAAAAGAGGAGGTTAAGCCTTAAAGAAGGTCTGAGGGAGATGGGGAAGATGACAAAAAAAGAGAGTCACTGCTCAGAACTGAAAATTTCAGCAAGCACATGGCCTCAGGTGCCTGGGCCAGACACCAAGCCAAGCTGAAGGGTATTTAACTGATTTTTCTCTACCTAAAGACTTGGAATTGAGGTGCCAAGGGGAGCTGTGAGTTTGCATTTCACAGCACTTGCTTCAAGTACTCACTGAGCAGGGGCTTGAGAAACTGTGGCTCTCCTTCGTATACAGTCACTGCAGGGGCTGGATGTGGCAGGTGAAAGGCAGCTTCTGCAACTGGTTATTAAGAAAAAGAATGGTTTTTAACAATAAAATCCACCCCATTTGTGGGGCTCATGATTAACAGTACGTAAGTGATCATATATACCTCGAGGAACTGAGTTTTAAAAAAATATTACAGTACCAATGATTTTTTTTTTGTATCTACAACTATACAGCATTTTCAAGCAGTATGGAAATTTAATGAAATAATTATGATTTATTAATTTACATAAAAATACTTTTTACAGTTAAAGAATAAATCTTAAATGGTAAAAAAAATAAGATTAAGAAGCTCCAGCTATTGAGAGTCGTGGGAATTTGTTTGCTCTTCAATCACTTGTTTGACGATTTCTGCCAGTTTTAGTCGATCCACTTTGTCTGTGAATCCTCTGCCTGGAAGGGGAAAAAACAGGGAATCAGTGGAGCTGGGCACAAGGAGGAAAGCAATCCCAGCTGGAAATAAAGAGTGCTTCACACAGACTTAGGGCAACAGCAGCACAGGATCCAAAAGAATTTACAAACCACGAAGGGATAAACAGTGTCAAAACCTAAATCAGCCCAAATCCTAAATAACGCATTTGGGGTTATTTCCACATCAGGAGGTCTGTGCTTCCCCCTTTCCCACCCTCCCCGTGGGAGAGCAGCAATTCTCACCATTCCAGCTGAAGCTCTGCAGGGTGTCTCGCAGCAATTTGCACTCCCTGTTGTATTTCCAGGCCTCCTGCATCACTTCATTCAGCTTCTCATCTTCATTCTCTCCTGTTTGGGACAACAGAGGGACACAGGAGGTTTGGACTCGTGCTTCACTCAGGGCTCAGCAAACTGGGCAGTTACTCCTACTGACCCCACACAAACAGGAAATGGCCTTCAAACCAAATATTCCTGTTTAAAAGTTCTTCTAACAGCTCTGCGTGTCACTAAAATTCCACATGGACCCAAATCCCAGCTCAGAGGCTGCCCAGGAGTTTTCTTCCTTCCTCGCCACTGACACAGACAGACCCAAAGTCGGGGTCTTGCACTTTTAGGAGTAAAAGGTTCTTAAAAGTGGCAACCTTTACCAGCCTGTGGTAGAATGCACTGAGCAATCACATCTCTCAGCTTCTCCAGAGCCACGTTGGAATCGTTGCTTCCATTCTCAGGGTCATGGATGTAAACACCATCCTTTGGCTTGGTGCTGCACAAGAACAAGGGGGAAATAATTAGAATTTGGGTGCAGCTCAAGCTCATTACTTGTTGTGTAACTGCTCCAGTCTAACACAGCTCCTTCCCTCTCTGGGAAACTGGGAGACAGATTCAGCATTAATTATAATTCTTGTCCTATATTATGAGATCATTTTAAGTATGGAGAAAAAGAAATATTCCTTTGACATACTTCAAATAAGGGTAATCCTAAAATGTATAAATCTATTTTTCAGATTAACTTGAACAAAGACAGAGTTTACCTGATTTTTCAGTAAATAAATGTCAGGATGAAAAAAAATATCTTGGAATTCTTTCTCCCAGTCTGCCTTATCTTACAGATGACCCATCATCCCAAAAGGAATCTGTTCAATGCAGGAACAGCGTCCACCCTCCTTCCTGCCCTCATGGCACATCTCGGCACAAAAACCACACTGTGCCACTATCACTTGTCTGAGCAACACCACAAGTGTGCTAAGCCATCCCAGCTGAGCCTGTGCCATTCCCAAAGCCCTTTCCCAGGCATCCCAGCTGGCTCCACGTTGTCCTGCCAAGCCCAGCTCTGGAGTTACCCCAGGAGTTTCCGCTTGCGCAGGATCGGGTTGTTCACGGAGTGAAGGGGCTTCAGGCTCACTTTCAGGTCTTGGATTCTCATGTTTGCAAGTTGTTCTGCATGAGCCTGTTGGATCCCTGCCACCATGGCCTGGAAAGACAAAAAGGGCACTTGGTGCAACAAGACATGGACAGTGTTTGCCATGGGTGAAAAAAAAGAGGCACAAAAATCTGATTTAGTTTGGAGATGTGCAAGAAAAATCAGGTTTGCATGAAGGAAGGTATGGTTAGAACTAAAATCAGTGACAAAATATCCCTGGGGGAAACAGGACAAAGTATCATCTCCTCCTCATGTTCACAAGATGGCCTGAAATCCTCTTTGAGCAGAAATTAAAGGAAACAAGGAGTATTTGTTTAATTAGTGAGGTCATTGCTGTAGTGGGGATAAAACATGGCAAAGGAGGAAAGATCTATGGAAGATCCCTCCGGCTCTGCTTTCTGCCATCAGCACTCTCATTACACCAATCTGGGAGCACCTCCTTCAAGCCCAAATTTCACATTTTATTTCCCTTTTCACTTCTGTTTCCCTTTTCTCCCTGCAATCTCAGGCTCTCCTAAGGCAGAAGAGCAGCTCCTTATCTGCATAACCCCACATCAAAAAAGCCCTTCACCCATCCCAGAGCTCTCCTGCTCCTCTGCAACATTCCTGACCAAAAAACTGCTGCTCAGACCTTGTCCATCATCAGCTGGGCAGAGGGCAGGATGTTGTCCAGGGCCTCAGTGGAATTGAGCCAGGGATGGTCCAACACCCCCTCAATGGTCAGACGTTCCTCAGGTTTGACCTTCAGCAGCCTGGGGAGGAAAGAATAAATCCCTAAGAAGGGGGTTTGTTGATTTACAGAGCATTTAAGTATTTTAAAGGCCAAAAAAGCAGCTTTGCCAAGAGCTCAAACTGCCCCAAAATGAGGCCAAAATCTGCCCCAGCTCCCTGACCTTGCTGTGGTTCAATGCTGTCACAGCTCATCCAGGGCAAAGGAGGGTGCTAAAGGCATTCCTGGGGTACCCCTGTGCTGCTGAATTCCACAGCTGCTGCTCCCAGGTGGGAATTCACCCTCCAGGGGAACTGGAAATGATCCAGGCTGGCACTTTGGAAATGCACTCCCAGAGCAGGTTACACTCATGCCAAGGACTGGGCATGGAAACTCTGCAGGATTCACTGCTCCCACCACGCCACTCCTCAGCTTTTCACCCCCCTGCAAAGTCCTCAAGTAATGAACACTTTGGTTCCAGCCCCTCAAAATAAAAAGCAACTTTCTTCCAAGATTGCTGAAAACTCCATTAAATCCATTCTTTTCTAGCAAGAAACTCTGGAAAGAAGATTTGCAGATAAATTTGTGTTCTCATGATGAGCACAACTAAATAAAAAAGGCAAGATTTCCCACTGAGTGACAAGTGCTGACAAGTCATCCCAAAGTCTGAATGAGAATGGGAATGACTCCATGAGCTTGTCACACTTCCTTGGAGAACTCCAGACCAGCTTCTTGGCTGCAGAGCACAATTGTTTAATGTACCAAGAAAGTGGAAATAACTTGTACAAAAAGTCAGCAGCACCACGGGGGAGAGCAGAAATCTCACTTGCTGCCAACCAGGTTAAGCTCACTTTTGATACCAGCATTCCTTTTCCATGCATTTCCCAAATCCTAAGCCTTTAGCAAACCCTCATCAAGCCTGAGGTCAGAAATCAGCCTGGATCCATGGGACAACATCCTGAGAGCTGAGTTTCATGGGAATTTTGAAAGACAATGAAACCTTTTGCCTGTGGAGTTTCTGTGTGAGAATAAAGAGCTGACCTTGGTATAAAGGGAAGTTAATTTGGTGAAAGGTTGGGGGTTCTCCTGCACAGCTCTGAAAAGGTCCCAGCACCCTCTCCAAACAATGTGAATCCTTGGAGAATTTACAGTACATCTCAGGAGCCAGTGACACTTTTAAATTACCTCCCCAACTGATTTTTTTCCCCTAGTTATATTGCTTTTATTCTCTCAGCTCCTCTGGTGATGCAAAGGCACTAAGTCCCTGTCAGTTTTTCAAAAATAAGTGAGGTCAAGCCCTAATCAGTGCCACGTTCTTGCTCCCAAACAGACCAAGTCTTTGAAACACTCCCAGCTGAGGGATGTGCCCTGCATGGAAAACAGACTCCATTAGCATTTGGAATAAAACATCCATGCAAAACCTCATCTGAGTCTGGCACCTCATGACAGATCTTAATCTCCCTCTCCATCCTCCTGCCTGACTCTTTTCAGGCTGTGCATGATGTGCAGGGGGCTTATGGGGACAGATTTACCACATTCCATCAAAGGCACTTGATTTTCACAGGAATTCAAATGTTATCCCAGGAAATCCATGCCAGCTGTGTTATCCTGAAACCCTTCAGTGCTCCCACTCCCCTTGAAGACTCAATACACAATTCACCCCAACAAAAGAGACATCAACATTAAACACTTGGGCAAGGGGAAAAAAAAAAACCCAAAAACATTTCCCAGACCTGGTTTATGCTGAATGTAACAGAGAATTTGTCAGCTGGGTGAGCTGCAGACAATCCTCACTGCTGGGACAAGGCACTTCCAGGTGCTTTTCCACTTCCTTAACATGGAAACATTCCAATTCCTTAACACAACCACAGAGCAACACCAGAGTTTCCTCCAAGGACTCACTTTCTCACAATGTCTTTTGCCATTTCTGAGATCTGGCTCCACTCCTCCTCTGGGAACTCGAAGCTTCCTGTCATGATCTTTTTCCTCATGTCCTTGGGAATCGTCCGGCTGTGGTGCTTGGAGTAAAAGGGGGGGTACCCACACAGCATCACGTAGATAATCACCCCCAGGGACCACAGGTCACAGCTCTGCAAGCAAGGAAAGGGTCACTCTGGGGAGCAGCTTGCAGCAAATAATGAGGGAGTTCTGATAAAAGCTCTGTGTGATTCCCTAAGGGAACAGAACCAGCTCAGCTCCTCCTCCAGATCCACCTTGGGGGAGAAATCTGGCTGCTGTGACAAGGCAGATCCCTGCTCCAAGCTGAACAACTTCCAGGTGCTTGGGGATTGTCTGGGAGCAGCCAGGCTGCAGAGGTGTGAGAGCTTTACTGCATCTCTCAGGATACCTGAATCCTTCCCCCAATCCCATAAAAGAATCCAGGTGTTTACAACGGGAGGCTGAAAACAGAACAACCATCCACCAAAGGAACAGCAGGGAAATGAAATCAGAGCAGTCTGTGGGGCAGCCAGGAGCAGGACTGGCCTGCCATGGAAGCACAGA